TTGWKYTSWRCTCATTAGTATTTAACTCATTCCTCAATTCTTCTTAAAGCAAGAGCATTGGYTAATTGACAGATTGTTTCTCTGTTGTTCTTGAGGATCAAATCCCATAATGATATTCTTTAGTCAAAACCAAAATATATATTTTTTTCATAGAACAATGTACCAATCAGCTCCAGTGCAATTTTCCAAGTATTTACTGAGAAACTATTCTGGGATGGAGAGCAAAAATCTAAAGAGACAGAAACTGATGATGTTGTTGACTGGATTCATCGATATGAAGCGTGCCACAAGATCTTTTCTCGTCTCACGCCATCTGACTTGGTCAAGTTTGTTGATGCGGTTACATTCAGTGAAAAAGCTGTAGATACGCTGCTACTAGAGACAAGAACGGATATTGTCAACCGATCGCTGAAGTTTRCCAGACAGCAARATGCAGCACGCAAGAAGAAGGGTATCGAGGAGGACRTATCAGAAAACAGGTACCATGGAGTTAGCCACCTCMCCAGGCAACTCTTTTTTCTTCCTTTGGGCTTCCTTTGTAACGGTCRTCTTGGCCGCYAGGGACTCTCACCCCCATTCTMCCTCTTTTGACTCCACAAAAAGACAGGAAGCCCGTGGGTATTAACAATGAAAAATCTTCAWCAAAGAATAAAGATATAAAGATGATTGTAAAAATCATAATGATGACGATAATGATGATTGCAATGATGGGTGATTACAATGAACATTGATGATAATATCAGTGATGTAAAACAACGTGTAGTCTCCTCGCAGCCGTGTTTAGTTTCGGTCACGCGTCACGCAACCTCTCAGGTTGCGTGACGCGTGACCGAAACTAAACACGGCTGCGAGGAGACTAAACAACGTGTAGCCTAGATCAATATTTATTTCTTTGTTAGCCCTTCAGACAAGAATGATTTCTTATTGTTTATTTATTATTTCTTGGGGATTTCATCATSAAATACTAATATTCGAAATAATATCTTTCAGTGGGAAAAGTGGTGAAGAACTGACATTTGAACAAGCCATCAGCCATCTTGAACACTCTGCACGGCATCTTGAGTCATTAACAGATGGAATCGTCTATGCTTTGATTGATGCTGATGAGGTGAGAAAACGCAATATGATATCTCAGTCCAAACTCACTGTACAGCGTGATGCAATTAATAGGGGCGGATCCTCTGGGGCGGATCCAAGGGGGTGACAAGGGGCATAGAGATGTGCATAACCTTAAAAATTTTCTGGTTGCATCCTGATTTTTTCTGTCATTTGTCTGCGGATTAGATGGTGTGTGAAAAGAGTGCGCGTCTCGTCCTGTTTCCCTTCCGTACTTTCCCCTATATTCTCTTTCCCTTTTGAGACCTTTTTGGGGTGTGTAAACCTTCCTCGCCGAAACACCAACTGACTCCTTCCTGGACAAATTCCTGGAACTACCAATGTAACCATAACCATGGCTTACGCTACTTGTATTTCTCATAGGATAATGAAACCAACTACTCTCGCCGCTACGATTTGTCCAGGTCAATACCAGACAAAATAAACCCTCTAGTGTCTCAAATGCTTGTTGATGGTATTCCCATTGACAGCATTCATGAACTTCTGAGACTAGCATCAAGACAAACTGTACAGTCATGGAGGGTTATTGATGGTGTCCAGGAAACACTCAAAACATTACTGGATAATCTCAGGTATAACTGAAAGTAAAGATAAAGTAAAGCTATATTTATGCAGTTCTTTTCCCATCTTTTTCTTCTTCACTTTTGTCTTCCTCTCTTTCGTTTTTCTAAGCACTGCATCATCGTTGTTTCCCCTTGACTTCTCCACCCTCCTCATATTCTAGCTTGTTGTTTTTCCTCATCTTCGTCTTCTGCCTTTTGCTTTACTCTAGTTTTATTTCATTCTTTATACCCATCTTAATTATCATCACCACTTTCTCCTTTCATCTTCTCCCGAAGCTTGTTTTCCTCTAGAAGTAATAGACAATACTTGTATTTTATCGTGGATGCAAGCACATTTTATTAAGTAAAATTTATATCTAACATGCTCGTTACTGTTGTTCTCACAGTAAACAAAAAGGTCAAGAAACTGCACTATTTTCTTCAACGAAAAACCCTATAGAAATCATCGAGASGATAATCCATGCAGTCAGCAGCCATACCGAGGGGGGAGGGGTGCTAATATCACAGGACGATATYCTTACTACTTTGAGACCATTCTGTGCTGATGTAGCAGTACCCGCAAAAATMAAGACTAAAGTTTTGCATATACTCGAAGACTCATTTGATCTTAGTGGTGAAGATACGTTCTTGTTGCTGTTCTGTCAAACAGAGGCCATTGTAACAGCACAGTGGAAAAGAGAGGTAACGCGAGGTGGGGAGGGACGATTCTTATTTGTTGGGTGTGATTGTCGCCGTGAATGGCTTCGTTTTAGATGAAAATGATGACGATTATAGATGTTAATAATGATAACTTTAAAGCACCTTGTCACTGGAATTTTTGTACCCTACAGCTTTCTSCAGAGGACATTGACAGTGACGAAAAGAGACATGTTCTTTTCTTGGAGCAGCTTGAACAGTCGACGTCTTTAGAAGAATTACGTTCTCTTGGTACCCTGCTGAACATTTGGCCAGTTTTGGCAGCTACTGAACTGAGGTAGAGAACATCATTTCATTTTTCCATTCATTGACTCATGCATTGATTGATTCATCCTTCCATCCATCCATTCAATCATTTCCTTTTCGCAGCGAGCACGATCCTCAGATTAATCCATGGATACAGCTGTTACACAAGTTCATAGAATGCGGCGATGATGGAAAGGAATTCTTAAAAATGATGAAAAACACTAAAATATCTTCAGCACTTGGAGCCCAGGTAGGCATTTTATGTACACATGCGAAATGCCATTGGAAATATTATATTTCAAAAGCTGGGAACTTTTTCACACAATCTGCTCAATAGTGCTCAGTTTTTTATTCAGTCTTTACTCCCATGTTGTACATGTATCAATATGTAAATAGCTTCTTCCAAAGGCGCTCTCCTTTTTAAGTTTCAGCACTAAAAAGAAGAATTTGAATATTCCTGACAAATTTTGAGTGCCAGTGCTTTTTAGATTTGTGCTGTTACACGTTGCGAGAATCTCATATATATTTCTTTTTGTCGTCTCTCTCTCAGTGCTGTTTACATGTATTCAATATTTTGTCGAGCAAGTGCCCAGCAGTTGTTGCTCTAAAGTTTGGTGTCGTGTGTGGTTACGATGAACTCCACAATACTGTTATATCAAAAATGAGAACACTCGAGGTAAGTTCATGTTGATCACAAATTTCTCGACGTTCTTATTTTGACACATACTTTCATTTCATTTTTCTTTTCTCATTTTTCATTTCATTTTTGAAGATGTCTTCAGAAACATGCGACGACGAACTCCTAGAAAAACTAGTAACTAGCAAACTGGTAGTTGAAATAGCAGAAACGTGCTATCTTAAGCCACTAATCAGCTATGTATTACAAAGGGGAGACAGCGATGGGGAGTTAAGTGCACAACAAGTTGCCTTTCAGTTGCAATCTGCTGGTTACGTCGCCGAAGCAGGGACACTTTTATCAAATTCTAACGCTGTTCATCCAGTRTTAAAGACTTTAGATTGCGCAATAGAGGCATTGTCGCACTGGCTGARAAGGTAACAAGAATTGTGGTGATGGTACTTAACCCGTGAAACTACAGTTAATCGATATGAAGCCATCGTTACTTGCAGTTTATTCGGCAAGCATTGGGCCGCAAARGACAGGAAAACTACGACAATAAATGCTTTTGCTATTAATGAATCAAYAATTAGTATTATTTAACTGGCAATAAGGCCTATAAGATGATATAAGATGATATAAAGCTAAGTAGTGKTCCAGAAGTTGCCAATCAAGGTTTATGGAGTAAAACTTTACCAGCGATCCGTACTTGGTATTAAAGACAAGAGAATGCCGACGGATACACAAGTTGATTTCACGGGTTACGTGCCATCGCTATTTGAATTATTAAGATATCAATATTTAAAAAATTTTTACAAAGAATTATCTGAATGAATAAGTAAAYATATTATATTGAATGGACTGAATTATAAAAGAATTCTTATTTAATAAATAATTGACAATAAAATTGTTAAAAATGTAGTATTTTTAATGATAATCGCACTGATGTTTGTAAACTTTTGTCACAAAATCTTTAAAAAGTTGATATTTTGATCGAAAATTGATTTTGTTTTTATGGAAAGATGACTGATACTTTTCCGGCTAATATCCGGTAGTCCTTCGAGAAGATCCCAAAACTACGTTGTACGATGAAAATATATGTGCTACGTGACGTGACTACAGGATTATAGCATTACTGTCCATCCTGTTCAAAGACGTAGCGACACTTTTCCTGACATCATAATCGGTGCGGTTTTCCAGAAAGTTTCCCAGGAATCCTGCTGCTTGCTGTGAAGTAAGAAGTATGTATTGCGTGACTACCKTTTTTTTTAATCCTAAACATGTGCCGGTAGTTTGTGCACTGGACTTCACAGCATATATAAACAGCAACAACAACGAAAAAAAAAAAATACTTGTCACGCAATAAACGAAAACCCGCATAAATTCTTTTTCAAGTATTTTCACATTTTGCCGCCAAGAATCGTTCAGAGCTGGGTTGTTTATTTTGAATATATTAATATCGGTCAAAAATATTACGCGAAGTAAAACAGATTTTTCTTTGACCACTGGAGAATTCAATGGAACGTGACAATTAGAACACCTGACTTCAGAACAAATTCGACGAAAAGTTTAAAATTTGGATATGGAGATATGTTGCCTTGGCTCTTTTTAATACAGCCCTTATGTCCCAGCTCTTTTAGTAACGTGAATGTCATAACGTGTAGGTAATACTTGGTCGGATGTGGTTGAATGATCAATTTAGTGATGTCATACTAGAACTTGTTTTTGATTGTCGGCGAAGATTGATCAATGATTATCGAGATTTGGGCGAAATTTGCTTTCAAAATGTCAACCAATACTTCAATGAATAATATCACGATCTTTAGATGYTGTAAAACTAGCTATTTAGCTCGCTTAATCTGGTTTTTAGTGTCGTGTGTGACCCTGGCCTCTGGGATTTTCAGTCTCCCGCTCAAAAACTTGTTTGACGTGATTGACGCAAAAACTGGATTTAGCTATAAACAAAAGGCCCTAAYGCATTACAGAAACAAACATTTCGTGACACACTCTGCTTAAATAATTACAACTGAAATAGTTTCTATATCCTCCATGAATATCCAAATAAAACCGTAGTGCTTTGATTTTGTATTTTAGTTATCAYATTTTCCAGTGAATTATTCAAATTTTTAAAATTYACCTATTTAATCTGGGTAATTTTTGTGAAGCACGTTTACGTGTTTGTCGCGCGAAAACCGGACGAACCTGTAACTTCTCACAGTYACTTTCARCCAATGACAAGCTTTGTTGTCAGTCATTCAAGTACAACTTGCTATTTCCCCGTAAAACAGTTCTCACACGTTTTGACTACAATACAACAACGAAATACTCTGTAAAAGAAGTATCCCTCAAGCTTCTACGAATTTTCTTCAGAAATGTCACCGGTAGGCTCTTTAYAATCTGAAAATTCCTTTTTCTACGATGTGTGATCGCCTTGTTTATTTCATTTGTGTTTTCTTCAGAAACGCGGGCTTTTGGAAAGGCTAGAGAACAACGAAGTCGTCATCGGCGATGGAGGTTTTGTTTTCGCTTTGGAGAAGCGAGGATTTGTAAAAGCAGGCCCTTGGACTCCTGAAGCAGTTTTAGAAAACCCAGAAGCAGGTATTTCTGATAATTTTCAAAAATTATTGAAATATTTGGCTAAGTTACAACTCTATCGTAGTAAGCTTAAATGATGCATGATGTTCTYCCGAAAAAAGAAAACAAGAARAYGACCTTCTTACAATGAAAAAACATGTATTGATTTAAATCGTAAACGTTATCAAATCTATTATTTCGCGAGAATGGGCTTGAGAAGGGCGGTATCGGAGGCACGGCAAAGAGAAAGCACATGACTCTCCATCCAGAAAAACTTGTAAATGGACTTGTGACGTCATGAGCGCACTATTGGAATTAATTTTTTGCAAATTTAAAGCTTTTATAGTCTTTAACATAATTTTGTAACTGTTTTGTAAATTTCTGAATATATAGTTATACTTATGATGTATCAAAAAAGTTCAAAATGCATTCTTTGATTCTATTTTTCAATGATTTTGATATTAAAGAGCATGTTTTAGGTATAAATATGAGTTAAGTAGTATTTTTCTGGTACATTCCCCAACAGTGAGACAGCTTCACAGGGAGTTTCTGAGAGCAGGTTCAGATGTTATGCAAACATTTACRTTTTATGCCAGTGAAGATAAGTTGGATAACAGAGGAAATATGGCTGGCAAAAACCACGGGGTAGGTGTCAAAGGTCCAATATCTCATCTTTCATCTATTCAACTTTTTCATTTATTGATTTAACAGTTCATTTACCCATTCATTTATTCATTCATTCTTTTTCCCAATTCCATTTCCCCATTTGCTTATTCATTCTTTTGTATTGATAGATTATTAACTATCGTCAATATATAATTTTAATATAATACTGCTCTATGTTTCAGTGTTCTGCCATTAATGAAGCCGCCTGTGATCTTGCCCGTGAAGTAGCCGATGAGGGGGATGCCCTTGTAGCAGGGGGMGTCTGTCAAACACCCACCTACCTTAGCGGCAAAGGCAAGGAGGCCTGTCAAGTTGAATTCAGGAAACAACTTGAAGTTTTTGTCAAGAAAGATGTAGATTTTCTCATTGCAGAGGTATGTCTAGTCCTTCAATCTTGYTATTTAGGAAGATTTTTCGTAAAWTCACCAAAAGAGTTTGAGCAGCTTGTTTGACAGATTGRCTTATRAAAAWTTGGTTTGACAGCTATTMTTGCAAAGCAAAYAAGCTTTAACGTTTATTCAAAAATWATTYTAAACAAAACTAGGTAACTATAGTTAAGCTGATAGTGACATTGCCATCAATCAACGCAGTCTTTATTCTAGTAGTGGCAGTTTCATTTATTGATTTATCTGTGAGATGACCAAAGAGAGCAAAGCATTRTAAAAAGTATATTTTGTGGGCCAAAGTATTATTTTAAGGACTTAATTGAGGGTCAATGGGTCTGTGGACTATATTTTGAACACTAAAATGTTTGGGGACTATGTACTTTGCAGATCATCTTATGGTCTGGGGATTGTATTTTAATGACCAAATAAGTGTTCAGGAACTATATAGGGATTTTAAAAGAGAGCTTTAAACAGAACCCATTGTTCCATTGTACAATGGATGGATGATARTTATTYTCTTGATARGGATTTATCTTTGGGATAACTTACCTTGGGTTTTGGCAATAAGGGAAGAGATTTGGGGAGCACAATTTGAGAAGGATCAACTATGAAACTGATTGATATAATTTTGGGGTTTTGAGTTATTTGAATGGTCAGGTTATGCAGCAAAATTTATTTAAAACTGGTGTAAATGAACTAGGTGGTTTTATTATGAACTTTAGGACTATAGGGTTGTTTCAGTTAAATGGTATCATTTCTTATTAAARATTTAAGAAACCTCTCAGCTGAAGAAATTTAAGTCGCAAATCTCAAAATATCTGCCTGTAGCTCTGGGGCTAAACATGTTTTCAAACAAGATTTGTATCCCGAAATTTTGGAAATATACCAACAAGAAAACCAAGCCTACTAACATAATAATATGCACTATTGTATTAGTATTATGAACACGTGGAGGAGGCAGAGTGGGCTATTGAGGTGTGTAAAGCTACAGGAAAGCCCACAGCTTGCTCTCTATGCATCGGACCTGACGGCGACCTTCATGGGATCTCACCCGGGGATTGTGCAGTCAGGTTGGCAAAAGCAGGTACTTAAGGGGTGAAATGTCAACTCTGACTTTAAGAAAAATAGAATGCTACAAGATGACTGACAAGCTAAGTTTCAAATACAATTTTTGGCATTTTGTTTTTCATTTTTTGACGAGACTGAAGTTCATTGTCCTCTAAAATTGGAAATTTGAAATCACCAAAGAAGAACTTCTTGCTTTGTAAATCATGTTTTTCTAATTTTATAATGCCAATCTTGCAGTAGTTTCTTTCTGTGCAATTGTCAGAAGTCATTATCCTTGTGATTGTTGATGGGTTTGGGTGGGTGGTAAGTTTATGTTAAAAACCAAATAACAGCAGGCAAAGGGAATTTAAGAAAACGGTTATGTTATCTGGAGGGTGGTTGCTTATGAGATGGTAGATTCACAATTCATTAATAGAACCCTTGCAGCTCAYGGGAATGCAGCTCCAACTGGAGGACCAAACTAAATACAATGGTTCTAGTTCCCAAGACGGCAATTGTTTTGTCCTCCAGATGAAGCGGCTTTGATGTAACATGCAWGGTGGCTATTGTTAAAGGAAAAAGTCAAGTTTGTCTTAATTCATTTATGAAGTGTTTGAACTATAAATTGACCAAAGTTTTTGATAATTCATGAATTTGAAGTAAAACCATTACTTTATAGATGGGTTATCTTTCAGTCATAGCATTTAATCCAAGGGGGATTTTTGAGGGATTGTKCCCTGAGATTGTAAAAATCATGATAATAATTAGACAGTTTGGGAGGGTATTGACTTGCAGTACAATAGCTCAACAATCATACAATAGGGAAATCCAGAGAGTGGAATCTTTGGTTGTAGCTTTCTAATGTCATTTTAAATATGCAGTGCCTTACCTTTCCCCAGTAAAATGATTTTGTGCTATGCCAGCAGAYGTTAATGCTTTCATTCATTGTGGGGAAACTCACAATTGTTATTCTTTATGCTTTGTACTTGTTGACGGCACCTCAATGCTTGTGCACAATKTCCATATTTGATAACAATGACATKTKTAATGCTTATTTGATGCTGATCTAACAATGCTAAGTGCAATGCTTATAGTGCTGAAGAAAAAATTGCTTGATAAATATGGTTTCAGTTGTGTGATGAGTGGATAGTGCTATCCAGTGCATAAAGCCAAAGTCATTTTTGTTCAGCTCCCATTTCTTKCATTTTTTTATTYCACTTTGAATTTCATTTTATTGGTTTTTAACTCCTGTGCAATTGTTCCTAGGTGCTGAYGTTGTGGGTGTGAACTGCCACTTTGGGCCAATCAAATCCCTTGAAACAATGCGCCTYATGAAAGAGGGACTTGATGCAGCAGGTCTTAAGTGCCATTTGATGGTGCAGCCATTAGGTTTCCACACACCTGACTGTGGTGTACAAGGATTTATTGATCTGCCTGAATTCCCATTTGGTAAGAATTTCATTCATTTACTTATTCTCATGCATCCCCAACATGCCTTCTTTCTTTTCCATTTTAGTTGTATTTTGACAATATACATCYTGCGATCCTAGTKTGTTAACCCATAATGTTTGTATGTCTCTAGGTCTAGAACCACGAATCTGTACACGTTTTGATATGCACAAGTTTGCACGAGAATCATACGACATGGGAATTCGATTTATTGGAGGATGTTGTGGTTTTGAGGCTTATCATATCCGCGCTGTGGCTGAGGAAGTATGTGCAATTTCTAATGAAAAGCAAAGAGAAAAATAATGTCCTAATGRATTTTGTTTGTTTTGATTAGCTTTCAAAGGAGAGGGGCAAGCTTCCTACTTCAAGTGTAAAGCATGGAATGTGGGGTGCYGGACTGAAACTGCACACAAAGCCTTGGGTCAGAGCAAGGTACAGACTAACAAACACCATTGCTCTTATAAATCTTCATTATCATGCTTAACCCCAATCGTATATCTTTTTTGACTGTCAATACTACTTTTGAAATATTGGTTTACAGTGTTTTCCTTAAGGTAATAAATGCTTTTTTCTTTCTTTCAAAAACAGAGCTCGCCAAGAATACTGGCAGAAACTCAATCCTTCGAGTGGACGTCCCTTTTCCTCAAGCATGTCCATGCCAGATGGCTGGGGTATTACTGCCGGTGACAGCCTGCTTATTCAACACACAGAGGGCACAACAGACAATGAAATGAAACAAGTTTTCTCAAAAGCAAAGGCTTGAACAACAATTCATTTGTTGTGAATAGCAAAATTTATGTAGAAATGGTATTTAAGAATGCCAGTAGAGTAGCTTGTGCATATMGAATGTTCAAAATACTCTTGGAGAGGAAATTGTGTAAAAAAGTGTACAAAAAATTGCACTAATTATTTAGGTTTGACAATTTTTTTATTACATYGTGTGATTTGTAGCAAACTTGACCAAAAGTTTCAGTCATATTGATTGGGTATCTTTTATAATTTGCACTATAACCCCTACTACTTTCAAGGTATTGTATATTCTGCCATAAAAAAACTAATAAAAGTCAAAATAAGGATTTTCCAGTGGTTTGCTTTTTAAATTGCTTTATTCAGGATTATTCCCTAGAAAAATACAATAACATTACTGTCAAATATTATGTATTACTTGGCATCTTTAGAGTGGTTTTTGTAAACCAAAATGAAGTGTTCCACTTTGCGTCCCTTTGTTAAAATGATATGTTGTCCTTGAAAGCCTCRCGATGGATTTCATTTCTTTCATTTTTTGATATCTGGTAGTAGTTATACAAAAGATTATGTAAATCCTTTTTCAAGTGGATAAAATCAAGACAGAAGACAGTGAGGTTGATGTCACTTAAAGATAATCTATGAAATAGTAATAGTACGATGTGATGGTCTCTCTAGAGACGTATTGGATATGAAATAGTACATTATCMACTCTATAGAACAAAGCAATAGAATCAGAGCAATGCAAGATGCAGTCATTGACTTGCTGTATTTGTTCACACTGTCTTTGTAAGAAACAGACAACAAAAACTGCTTCTTTTAATAGTGTATTAGGCTTAGGTCAAAAGTACTTGCAATCACCCATGTAGAAAATTCAAATGAAGTAAATTCCTCCAATCTTTTATTCCCACTCATTATCTCATTTGCACTGATTTCAGTACATGTGAAATTCTACATTTGAACCAGTCCTTAGTCTRATATCTATTTTACAACAATTTTTACACACAATAAATTATTCTAATGTGTTTTGTCTCATGGACGGTAATTAAAGTAAAAAAMAAAATGCATACCACTGTCTAGCCTGTGTCGCTTATGTGTGCAAAGTCTCCTTTAATTTTCTTGTGGAGGAAGGAAAGCAAAAGAGACTAATGCAGAATACCTGCTGCCCTCTTAGGTGAAGTTATGTATTTTTTTTGCTGTCTGAAATGTGCGCAATACCGAATTTTTGTTGGAAATCTTTTCCAGCAGTAACCAAAGCCCTTTCGTCAATGTAAGACACAGGTCTTCTTGATATGAGATGAAAGCGAAGCTTAGCAGGACTCCACTGTAAYACATACATCATGTATCCAGCTACGACTGCAACTGACCTTCCAACCCCGCCGTTGCAGTGAACATAAACGGTGTGCCCGCCTTTTAGTAGGCCATGAAGAAGGTACACCACTTGTGGAAGCATTTCAGCGCGAGCGACTGAGCTCTCATCATCGACTGGAAACCAWATATACGGAAGTCCTTCCTCTTTGTAAACCATTCTCAACGCCMGAGGCAAGTCTTCTAAGCCCCGGTAAAAACCTGAGCAATGGGTATTGATGTCTTGTGCAGTTTGAAGGTTAATCACAGCTGTTACTCCGTAAGACTTCAGTTCCAAAACATGAGAYCTTTTACGAGGACATGARCCCACCCACACATTATCAAAGATCTTACTAGTGTGYAGAATGTCTCGTTGGCAAACGTGTCTTAAATATCTTGCCGTGTGCTGTGATTCATCCTCTTGGCCGTAYTTCTCTATCCAAAGACCAACAGGTAGGTAATACACACCATCAACTAGCAACTCACCAGAAGTGTTGTCATCCAAGTTTAAAATTTGTCGACGGTTGTGGCAWGGACCTTCGCCYTCCCATTCGAASACTGTATCTCTCTTTCGCACAAATTTGTACTCAAAACGTAGCGTTTTGTTATTATTAAATGACAGCTGGATATCCTTGTACCAAAATGTCGGCTCGAGACCGGAATGAAGGAGGACTTCTGAATTGCTTCGTTTCAACGGTATTGCCTTGTTTTCTAGCCAACAGCCCAACTCTGGTATTGATCCAAGCACTGACACTGTAGCATCTTCCCCAATAAATGTTGCAACACTGAATCTTAAAGTAATGCTCATTTAGATGCCTTACAATACCAAACTGACATTTTTTTTCGCGACTTTCGATTCCGAGATTCCGGTTATTTACATTCGTAAAACGGCTCATAACTGTTCAGCGGTATATTTTAATCCCCAGGTCCTTGCGGTCGTTGGAGAAAAAATATTTTTCAACGCGTTGTTTTCCGATGTTAATTTCAGAAATTTATTAAGCTGTTTTGTAAGTTTCTCTTTTTGAAATGTGATGTATTGAAATGAATTTTCCATTGAGATGTATTTATATATTTTGCCAAGTAGTTTTCATTAACTTAAGTTTCTCGCTAGAAGGACTGCAAGTTGACCACAATGATTTCACGCCTTTTCTAATCTGGTTCTTGATTTTTTTTCWAAAGTTTATAGAAACATACAAGCCTATTATAATGGAAGAGAATTTCAATCAATCGAGTCAATACAATGATGAAAAAGACCTGGCCATACTTGTGGAATCATTACGTTCATATGAAACACTGGAACCTCAAACAAGAAGAGAAGCYTTCAGTATCATCAGGACCCTTTTGTCACAGAATAGTACGTTTAACCGTGAATCATAGATTCAACGTTATTTTTAMAARCATGAAGAYAGTAATTATAGTGCTCTATTGCACATTTCAATGAGTGACGTGAGCCCTTTTTGATACCTGAGTTAATCAATGGTATCTGCTCTTTCAGATTAATTGTATAGCTCCTTCACTAGTAAGGTTATAAGGGCTCTCTTTTTTTCAGAGGTAACACAGAATTATTTCAGAGAGCTTCAAGGAGTAGAGTTAATGGTAAACATTTACCAGCACTTCAGTAAAGAAAAGGATGTCGAAGTAATTGACAATGCACTGTATACTCTGAGTGTGGCAACAGAGCAAAATAGTAAGATTATGATCATTTTTACGTAAGGCCCAGTATATCTTCTACAAATAGTAATGATCAGACTAATATTGAATCCCTTCGTCTGCTGAATTTTATGATTTTACATTCCTCAAATCTTGAGTTACTGCTTCGTTATTTCATTTACCTACAGTATACCCAATCCTTTTCTCATGGAACTCCAACCTTCCCCAGCCCCTGATGATTATATATTAATAAAATTGATGTATTTTATTGTCTCCTAGATTTAACTAGACAAGAACTGATGAAACCAGAGMTGTTTGCAATGATCACAGGAGCAATAAAGTTATCATTGGTTCCATCAGCATATCTCTTACTTTGTCTGACATCTAATAATGGTATCACTTAAATTGAATCAAGTTGATGTATTGTTTTGTTCTAGTTCTTATAGTGAATAAACTGTGATTCCTTTGCTTTCAACGTGCAGTTCCAGGACAGGACCTTTCAAGGACATCTCACTGTATTACCAAACTCTGCAGTGAGCTCAAGTAAGGATCTTTTGTTGTCAGTAATCTTCAGATACACTGTCCTAATTGATATTTTTGATTTGTTAATCTTTTATATTTTACCAGAGCAAAGCTTGCTGTTGAAGAAGAAACAAAAGAAACATTGGTGGCCTGYGATGCTYTTTGTACAACTTTGTGTGCTATGATCTCAAACCCAGTAAATAGTATGGAAAGTTCATTATTTCATTAATCAATTCTTGGCACCAATTCAGTTCCTTATTTGACATTTGGTAAATTTATTTAAATGTTYTTGTGGACAAAAAAGGAACTAATCTYTACCCACCCTTTAATAAAAAAGTTTTCTTAGGTTCAAACCAGGACATTTGCTGTCGGCTGCTCCTGCCAACACTTGTMAGAACCTTATACCAGGATATCAACAGACAAACCCTTCAGTCTATAATTAACTTGATTGGATGTTGTATTATTGACAACRGTAAGTATTGAATAACTTCTAAATCATATGTGATTGGGATATATGAGATTGTGTTGGACTCTCTCATACAATAGGGATGAGGATACTCTGATTTCAACTCCTAAAAACAGATTGGCATGRCATGAGCATCCTTACMTTCTTTCTGTTCATGAGAAAGCCTCACTAYCCAGATGATACGAACCCTAAGAATAAAACCAGTAGATATTTCATATCATTGTTTTTTCTATGTAGATGATGTTCAGAAATGTCTTTGTGTAGTTGGTGGTATTCGAGCAGTGGCAGCCCTATTGTCAAAGTCATTGAGTGAACAACATGTTGATAGCCAGCCAGACAAAAAGTTCATGATGTGTTTAGTTAATACTCTATCTTGTTCATATACTAACAGTCGTAAGTATTAATTTTACCATGGTCTTTATTGACCTGTGAAATACTCAGTAGGATACTATACACTATAATATTATATTGCTCTTTATTTTGCATGTTTTTCTGTCTGTGTTGAACACACTTTATTACTTTTACACTTTTTACACTTTGTTTCATGGCAATGGGTTGCTAAAAATGTTTTTCACTTTTTCTACCACTGACAATTAATTTTTTCCCAATATTTTGCATTGTGATATTAAATAATGAAGACAACACTGATTTATTTTTTTCCATTTAATAAGCTGTCAATAAGATTCAGGCATTAGACCTCGATGTTGTGGAGGGACTTCTCAGATGTTTAAAGTTATTCAGTGATTTGGAAAAAGATTCTGAGCTACAAATCACTTGTGTGTCTGCTTTGCTGAATGTGCTTGTGGATGGAGATGACAATGGTAAGATTATTATACAATCATGAGTGATGGTGATGCACTTATAATGAGAGATCAAATGGAAATGATGAGAAAAGAGAAATAGAAGACAAAGCAGGAAAGAAAAGAGACAAGGAATGGCAGGGAAACATATCAGAGACCAGGATATAATTTGTGTACATTCATAAATGCAGTCCATTTTAATCACATTTTGTTTACTCTTAGTTCTAGATACTGGAAAACAAAAGTTTCAAGATGGTGGAGGAATCGCAGAACTTATTGAGTTACTGACAACTAAGGTAACTATACATCTTTTCCATGCTAAGCAATTATTGTCACAAGTTTTAATAAAATAAACACTGTTTATTTAAATCTTTGACATTCAGAATGAGAAGTTGAAAAAGTTGGTCACAGTTCTTCTTCACAAAACATTTGACAAAGAAGGTAGATTCTATCTCACTCTACTATCTTATATAATTCATACTCATCACACTTGATATGATAACAGTAAGTTATAGATTTTTCCTCGCAAATACTTTTCTGCAAGGAGARRAAATGCTGTAATRTTGTACCTCTTCAGCAACAACTTTGCTTCCCTCTGGGTTTTCTGTGAGAGTTACCTGACAGAAAAGGGCTCATTCATTGGATTTAAGTACACCCATTGTTTTTCATTCAACAGCAATCTCATCTAATGGTAGCAGAAGTACAATAACAGCCACTGAAACCAATTGCAATTCACCTGACGATGGGCATGTTGAAATGCCACTGGTTGAAGCTAATTCTACAAATGATTCTGAAGATGAGATTCCTAATATAACATCAAGTGGCTTGATAGCAAGCAATAACCACCGTAAATGCCAGTGCAAGAGTATTCCATATGTTGACAGCCATAATGTCCTTCAGGTCCTGAATAGCAACATGGTCTGTAGCTATCACAATTCTTTAGGCAGAGCAATATTGAGATACTTAGCAAAGGTAACTGAAGTAAAAAGCATGTCAAGTTTACTTCTCTGTGATATTCCTACACACTTGTTTCTCCTTGTTTTCTTTCCGTTGTAAAACATAACTGAAGTTTTTGTAGTATATTATGTGCCATTGCTGAAGACACAAGATCATA